GAAATGAAGGAGACTGGGAGAACATGTTTGAATAGCGTCATTGACTCTCAAAAGCACCTCAGAGTAACCCAGTGCCCAAAGAGGACAGGAGCTGCACAAGTCACCAGATCACAGCTGCTCCGCAATGCTCTTATTTCTGCATTTAAAAGAACATCTCTGACCTGATCAGTTACTTCCTTAGTAACTGAGTTTTTCTCTTAGAAAGTGAAAAGTTTTATACTGAGGACAAAAAAATCTGACATGAAATGAAGATTTTGAAACATTTTATACTCATCAGTGCCGTGTTTCATATTATAGTCATAGAATGGAAATCAACAAATACTTGAAGTGTTTACTGATTTAGTTATCTAAACTGGATGCATCAAGTTTAATGTTTTAATGACATTTTCTTAAAATAGTGTTTGCAGACTTGGATTCTCTGACAAGATTGTTTATTGAAGAGTAAATAACAGAACTGTGTGCTAATCATTTGGCCACTGACTCATAATTTTTCCATGGTAATTAAAATGCTTATAATCCCCTCTACTATGGAAACAATATATAGCATGATAAGGAGTCCTATCTGATGTATTTACTTTTACGACGCCCTGTTCCAGAGATGCCACTGTTCAGCCTTGCATTCAAGTACCAATAATGTTGAAAAATCAGATCTGGGAAGGCAACCGTGCAGCCTTCCAGGGGATTTGATCTGGACCGTGTCAGTGGTGACATTTTATTAACAACAGTCAGCAAGAGAATGCATCGCTACTTAACCAAAAATGTGTTTGACATGAAATCAAACTTTTTATATAGTAGCAGATACAAAAGATTTATATCAGCAAGATACCAAATACTGCTAAATAATGCATTTTGGGCTTCTTTACTTGAAGGTGTGTGGAGGAAGTTTTTTTCTTTGATGTGACTTTATTTTTAACTGTGCAGAAGAACTTACATTTGTGTGATCAAACTCTGTGCTGAGTCAACCCTTCAATGTATGTGGTTTGGATATGAGAACAGTGGATTTAACAAGTGTTACTCAGATGAGGGAATCCAGGATATCCCTGTTAGGTTTTCATACCACTGACTATGACAAGTGATAGTTGCCATTTCTTAATATTTACTGGAAGTAGTGCTGTGAATTAGCGCTACAAAAAACAGTGGGCATTTCTTTCCAAACACTTTAATCCAATGCTTAGATTTAGGAGGGTTATTTTCTAAAGCATTAAAGCCAATTCTTTTCTCAGTAGCAATGATTGGGATACAGTTTCTTCCTACTATAGTAAAGTTATGTTGCACAGCTCAGCTCTGGCAAAGTTTAAAAAATAGCATATAACTGTTGTAACATGCCTTTTTCCTCACCAAATCTTGAAAAAAACCTTTGAAAAAAAATCCTTTTAGAAAACTCGCGTTTTACGTAAATTTTTGGGATGTCAGTTTAAAAAAAAATCTATGGTATTTTGGATGTCGCATGAACTAATCATGAGACTGAGGATCAAGAAAGCTGGGTTCTAGACTTGCAAATGAATGTGCCTGATTTGGGGCTAATTACACCATCTATGATTTACTGTTCTTTTGGTCCCCAGTTTAAGACACATTAAAGAGGACAAAGTACTAGGAAGTGTAGAGTAGTAACAGATTTTTTGAAAAACAGAATATTTATTTATAAACCTTCAAATCATTATTTACTTTTAAAAATCTCAAGCAGCCCTTCGATTTTTCCACAGTCTGTTGGGCCAAAACCATTTATTTAATAGGTACTGAAGATGTTGCAGGTGGCCTTGGTAATTGAAATAAGCAATTCCCATTAAGCGTAATTTGAAGTAACTTCTAATTTGAATGGGAATTGGGTGCCCAAATCCCTTTACAGCAGATGCTTTCAAATCTCCCTAGAAAAATGTTCAAGTGGTGAGAATTTTTAGCTTAGTACTTCTGCTGCAGGGTTATGGCAAACTAGGAGACCCTTATACTATCCACTGATTGTTCAGGCATAGCATGGAGTCTGCAGCATGATAAATAATGGGAGGTTCCAATTTTCCACTGCCTCTTCTAGTCTTTTATATCTGTGCAGAAGAAACATAACACTTTATTATTCTAACTCAGCAGTGCTTCACATCCACCTACCAAAGACGCAAGTGACAAAGCCTAAGTCAGTACAATCAGTGAAGAATGAACCAATTCCAACATTAAAAAAAGACATGTTCTTCCTCCATTCTTCCTCAGGATTGATTTCACTCAGATTCAAAGCTGGATCTGTTTGTTATTCTCAGAAACATTATTATTTATTCTATTTATCACTACAGACTTGCATTCTGCAGAGTCATAATTATTACTAAATTCTGGTGACAGAATATTAATTGAAAGCAAAAAGAAATAAATCATAATTTTTTATAACCTGCTAGCACGGGAGCAATCTTTCTGCACGTAAACACTGCAAGCATCCATTCAGAGATACTGTTAAACATTGAATGCTTCAAACCTGCCTTCATAGATGTTTTCCTGAGAATAACTGCTTATTCTAAACCAGAGTCTAGTATGTATTGTATTTCAAAAGAGGTCATGCCCAACTTTTTACTTACTATTGGATTTCTGTAGCTTACAAAACCCAAGCTTCCAGTAATAAAATAACATTGTCAGAATGAGCACTCAAATGACTCAGGCCAGCAACTATTCTCACAGTGAGACAAATTCTATGAATTAACGTATTGGCAACATGCATTCTCTTTCACAAAAAGAAATGTATTGATCTTTGCTTTCAGGAACTAAAAGTTAATTGCTTTTCTGAAGGTTTCCACTAGGGCAAAAAACAAGGATCACTTATAATTTATCTGAAGGGAGAAAAGGTTGACATAGCTCCTAACCCTGAGATTTGACTTGTGCTTTCTTACAGAAAATGGAAAATATGGTGGGTTTTTTCCTCTGAGAATTTCTAAAAACAGCAGAGAGAGTATATAGCTTCTGTACCCCATACAGTATATACTGTTGTGACTGAATTCACTATTAGAAATTCTAAATACATTCATTGGGATGATTAGGAATTTTTGTCCTCTATTTCTCCACTATCATTCCTTACACCCTACTTGCTATTAGGACTGGTGGTGAGTTGATGTGGCAACAAAGACTAGAAGAGACCAGAGTAAAAATTTATCTCCTTATTAGATTGGGACATCTTAATTCACAGTCACTCTTTAATTAACCTTCTTTTCAAGAGAAATACAGTAAAGATGCACAAATATCTGACTTAAGCCCATTCTTTTTGTTAAGGTTAGGAACTTTAAAATCTCTACATCTGAAAGGGATTTCAGTTTAAACTGAAACTGTGAAGTCTACTGGATCAGTTTTGTATACTTTGCTCCTGACCAATGTACAAGTATAACACTCATTTCAGGCAGACACATACCCACAGTACTCAGAGACTGAGTCCGAGATGTTAAAAAACCACCTGTAGAATCTCTGCAGCCAAATCTTTTTAAAATGAAATATGTATTTTTTCAAAGTTTTCCAAAAGCTCTTCCAAAGCCCAGCTTCCTAACATTCTCTCTGGTTACCTTGATGTTTTCAGTGCAACTGGAAAGGTGTTTTAAATGTATTTTGAAAAAAGAGCTTATGAGAAGTTCAGGAACTTTAAACACTGATATAATATGCCAAGAAGCAAACTTAGGAAAACCATTCACCATTATTTCAACCTTATTTTCCCAATAATTTCTGAAGCCAGGGTTGCTAGCTTCTGGTTTGCTACCTATATACAATTTCCGCTAAAATCAACCACAACACAAGCGGTGATTTTTTTATGTGGATCAGGTCATACATCCACATATTTAGACTTAGTTCCCAACTCACACTTTCTCTTGGGAAAGCTGCAATTGGTAACACTGCTGGGAGGATCAAAGGGAATGTATGCATTTCTGTGCATAGAAAGCACTATTCAAAACGCTATCCTGTGGAGCTTTAAATGGCTTTAAAACTTTCTTTTCTATTGATGTTCAAGAACAAAATGATTGTTCTTAATTGTTATTATTTACAGCATTTGAAGCTCAGGTGCAGAGGTGGAGGATGTCGGCGTGACCCTTCCCACACCCCCAAATGACTGGCTGGAGGGAACGTTATAATGCCCATCCAGCAACTCAGAAATAGCTGTAGCCCAGGGCACAGGCCAATCCCAGAAGCACAGTTATTACCTGTGATCATCAATCAGTAAAAAACTGCACTTTTTGAAAGCAGCTGAAAATGTCCCATGCTGGAATATCAGATTATAGGTTCTTGGTTTTGGTTTTTGTTTTGTTTTTTTTGAGAGAGAGCGAGCTGGATGAAGAATTTCATGTTTCCATTAGAACCGCATCTTTATATCTTTTTTAGGAATTCACATCTTAGACAACTTTCAAAGCCCAGTGTTTGATTTCAGAGATATTTGTATCCCATGGACACTTAATTTCAAAAGTAATAGTGGTATTAGGAATTTCTAAACTGATATTATTGTGCTGCCTTTACCATTTAAAGTTTTCTCTTAATCAAATGCATGTATGCAGAGTAGCAAACATGGGAATTCCTAGAATACAGAAAACAAGTAAAGCATTCAGGCTTAAAACAAGGACTGTAAAATCCACCAAACCACTCCCCATGTTCATGGAAAAAGGACAGATTATGCTACAGGACATTTCAGTCAAGATACCTTGCCCAGTAATGGTAAGACAGTATGTTGTCTACACACAGGACATAACATGACTTGAAGCAAACTAATTGAGAATTTCTGTGCTCTTTGGGACGCAGCCAAAAATAAATCTGTGTCATAAACTTATTGCACCATTATAGAATACTGAGAATAGAGTGGGCTATGCCTGAACTCATAGTTTCAGCACTTCTAATCCTCATAAGGCAAAAACCCCATTTCACATGACCTATGTGCAAGGGTTAAAGAAATGGCACAAGCTTCTGATGCTACGCCTGCAAACAGAAGGGAATGACCACAGAATCCCAAAGCACCCTTTTGTTTCCACTGAAATGTAGTCAAAATCACTGTCACTTACTTTCTATTGGCAGCACAGGGGGAAGTGTGGTCTTAGGCTTCTTGGTCTTCTTCTCAGTAGGCTTTGAGGTCTTTGTGGATGAGGCATCTGCAGTCGAAAGAAATAATAAAATACAAATCCTATTTAAAAATCAATAATGAAAAATCTGCCTATTAACATCAGTTCATTTTGGATCTTTCTGCTAAGTTAGAGGACATTGCTGTCCTCGTGGTTTTTAAGAAAGACTTTCTGCACAGACTTGCTGAAAAAATTCACATTCTAAAAGGAAGAGGGAGCAGAGAGGGGGACGCCCTCTACAAAAGCAGCTGCACTGAGAACCTGAGAAGGCAACTAGACGAGGCACCATCTAAGCTGACAGGTCTATTTTAACTGAATAGAACAAAGTATAATGTATACAAAGCTGCTTTAGGCAGTGCATGGAAGAGGGAAACAAAGGCATACTTGAAGCATCATTTAATCCAAAAGAATCTCTTGCCATGTCATTCTTCTATTCTATTGTCTGTGTGATCTATATAGATGAACACATTTTGAAAAGTAGCATTTCCTCTGTATGTTTAAATCTTTCCAAGAAGATATAATTATACATTGGTTCGTTCCTAAATAAAAATGGCAAAAGGGACACCACAGGACTCAAGTTTGATGGATTTCATTACTCTCAAGATTGCACAGCTCATATCCAGCAACTACTCAGCACTGCAGGCTCCATTGACAGCTACGAGTTAATACAAGCGCTCTTCCAAGTGTATGCCATATGACATAGACACATACAACTAGAAAATACAACTGTTTTTCTGCAAGGTTATCCCAGGTTGAAAATGTCATGTAACGCAAATCCTAACAAGCTCCACTTGTTAGATTGTTTGATCCTGACATTTATCTTTGGAAGAAAGATCCCAAATCTGGATTATGATCTTAGCAATAGCTGTATCAATTTGTAGCTTTCAAATATTCAGCTTTCAGAGGATTTGTGCATGAGAGCTGTTTGAAATTTAGTTACCAGGGAAAAGATAACATAAATGTTACGGAACCACCTATTTCAGTCACCTACTTCCAGGTGTCAGAGAATGCAGGTTCACCTCCCTGTTTCCTAAAAAGTTAACAGGGTAAAACAGAATCTCCAAGCCAACAATTCAGAGCAGAAGGCTGTGCTAGATCCGAGTTCAGACACTCAGATTCTACAGATTTGTCCTTGAGCTAATTTGACAACTGAAGTCAAACTTTCCTCCAATCTGATTTGAGTCCATGGGGCCAAAAGGAATATAATGATATTTATGGTTACTTATTGAGTCTAAAAATCAGCATCTGGGATGCTGACAGCAGGCTGAGTAGAAGGGAGCAATTTTAATTGTTGTTTTAGATCACAATTCTATTTTAAAAATAACAGTCATCCCCTCTGCCAGTTACAGACATGGGATATCAAATGGCGTCTCTCCTAAATAGCTGGAGTTTGCTGTGGTGCCTCTCCTCTCAAAAACATCTTCTCAGCCGTACAAAGGAGCATGTCAGTAGGGAATGGAAAAAACAGATGAGGCAGCCAGTATCAAGGTAAGGAATGTGGTCATTCTGGTGTCCAACATTAAGTGAGCGGTGAGCTCCTAACCATGGCTGCCACTGCTAGAGTGATCCAGACAGCTGATGCAATGCCATTCAAGGCATCATGTAATGAATATGTCATGAGCTGACAGCCTCCCATGACCAAGACTTTGCAAGCCAAAGTCTACCTCCAGCCTCCTAGAACGTGCATTGCCTAGCAGGAAATTGGAAGTGGGAAATATGCTAAGGGAGGCTTCAGGAAGAAAAGCAACTACTTGAAGGAGATCAGAAGACAAAGTCAAAGGAAAAAACACACAGGTGACCGAGACATGTAAAAGATGCTAGGGCAGGTCTGCAGAACTAGTGTGTGCTAAGCGCTTGATGATCCGATCCATTAACACTCTGCATCTGTGGTAGTTAAGGTGTTACAGGGTACTAGATTTTGCTTAAAACCTCTTCTTGATAGTCATCTTTGAACTTCAGCGCTAGTAAAATTTATTACTTTAAATTACAGAAATATAAACAGTAGCTTATCAAATATCTAAGCCAGACTATATCGTGACCATAAAAGGTGCCATTACAAGAACCAATATAATTAATTGTAATTATATGTATAATTAATTCCTTTTCCAGCTACATGAAGACTGACCCTTACTGATGGAGTTACAGGACCACATCCTTACCTTGTGCCATGCTACATTGGGATAGCAAACAAGTGTTTTCTTTTCTAGACCTCCTGCTGCAAATACCACATCTGTAACACAGTTGTGAAGGCTCAGTACCCAAGATCTACGTTATTTGTCTTGTTCTTTAGTTGTGTGTTCTTTTTAGTCACAATGGAAAATATCAGAGTATTCAAGGATGACCTCACCAGAAGGTGAGCTGATAAGAAGCACATTTGGTTACTTAAAGTCCACGGCAGTTTTAAAAGTCTGTGCTCTCAACCTCATGACAAAATATTTGCCCAAGGCCAAGACTATTTGGCAAGAGTATAGTGTCATCAGCATGACTGAGGCTGAAAAGGGGTACCTCAGTCAGCAAATGATCCATGTTCTAAGACTATGGCACACAAGGGTGGTTGAGCTGCTAATTTATTTATTTTTGCTCATTTACACTAGAAAAACCAAATAACCAAATGTCAGTGAATGCAAAGAATTGAAAAGTTCTAGACTGAGAAACATGCCACACATAATTCTGAGGCAGACTGGTAGCCAGGCTTCCATACCAAATTCTTATGTGCTCTCAGAGAATGCATACAGCTCAGAAGAAAGTCTTCATGGGTTCAACTCACTGCTCTAAAAACCTTGTAGAATACAGCGGGCAGCAGGAGAACATAGATTATTCCACAAAGCAGCCTGAGTCCTTGGCTTTGTATTGTCTCTCTGCTCATGCTCCTTTATGGTAAACACTGAATTAGGTATTGACTGAAAAGTGCAGAAGAGAAGGTGGCAAAGTTCTTTTTTGTGTATATGGTTCATAAAGACTGGTATTGGGAAACAAAAGATGGAAGGAGGAAGTTCTAAGGAAGGGTTTTCCCGTATACGGCAAAGTACTTACCTTCTACCAGCACTTTGCAAGCACATTCAGCTTTCCCTGCTGCATTCTCAGCTATGCATTTGTATTCGCCCCCATCTTCAGGCATGGCCTTCTCAATGGTAAGTGAACACAGTGTCCCTAATACAAAGGAAGGAGAGATCAAATGGATGTTATGCTGCAGTTCACAAAAACCTTACTGAATGCATCAAATGATCTAATCCTTTACTACAGGTGATCTTCACTGCTAGAAAATTATGTTTTCTCCTTAAAAATTCAGCATCAGAATTGGAACCTCATTAATGCCAAATAAAATAAAACCACATTGATAGATAAATCAAATCTTATTGCTGTTCCCTAGGATACTCAAAGCTGTCCCTGCAGCCCTAAAGTGGTTAATGGATGAGGACAGAGAAGACCCAGAGCAGAATCTCTGCTGCTGTTCTTTGTCTTATAGCAGGAATAAGAAGTCCTCACTCAGATGATGTTTTTCCAAAAGTGCTAGTAGTGTTGGACTGTAAATAAGAGGGCTTCTGTCAACCATCAATATGCAATATTTTGATTCAGTCTTATCTCTAGCACTGCCATGAGCATCCATGTGTGTAAGTAGAAATTCAGCTTAGTGCCCAAGTTTAAAAATGACACTGATAGATCTTCTTTTTGCCTGAATTACTTAAAGAACAAGTGCCTGGTATTGTAAAACATCAGTTAGAAAGTCCAATTATATGGCTGGCAATCAAATTCATCACTGCAACAAATCCATTTCTTTTCAAACAAAAAGCAAAATTTGACTTCATTGGGTTTGCAGAAACAGGATGCGACATAAGCTATGTAGTTACCAAGGGAAGCTTGGTATGACCCAAGGGAAATACATTTCCTCTTAAAAAATAAAACTCTGTGAACCAAAACAGAAGCCGTTCCCAGTACTTGGGGGATGAGGAGGGAGAACTGTGGTTTACCTAATCCCTTACGTTCACTTGCATTGCTTGGAACAACGAAGTACTTTGCTCTCCGGGGAGAATCTCAATTAAAACACTCCAGACTCTTCCCTTCCAAATATCCCTCACTAAGTGGGGGTGAAGTGTGGGTTTGCTTTCTCCTTCCTCACTGGAAAGCCTGGCCTGTCCCCTAAACACAGCCTGAGACATTGTGCACTTCCACCCATTGCTGTTAGCTTGTCCAGAATGCCTTCATCCTCCACTCAGTTCAGCCGCAGTAGTATCTCACCCCCTTTCTCCATTTACCTTTCTCACAGTCTGTCCTAATTAATGGCAAGAATGAATATATGATCTCTTTTAGACATTTGCACTGTGTCCTGAGACGTAAGGAAATTTCCCGGCATCTCTTGCTATTTGCCACCTTTCTCTCTATGTTAACAGAAGGCTGCCTTCTGCCTTCCACAGTGCCTGATCCCAGGCTCCCCGTCAAATTTATCCCTTGTGATGTGGGAGATGGCACAGGCACAGGTAACATTAGTTCTTGAAAAGGACTTTGAAAGATCCGTCTATCAGAGGAACTTTGGGAGTTTACTGGCTCCCTCGGAGATTAGACCTCAGTTCTAACAAGGCAATTATGCTTTTAGCATTTAGATTTTCCCTCATTGTAAAACTGGATGTTATTACTCAAGGCAAATCTTACAAAAAACATTCAAATGGTTCCCAACAGATTTGGTTTGCCAGACACCCACACGGGTTAGAAGAAATCTTCCCTCCTCATCATCCTCCACAAAATCAAGAAGCTCTAAACAATGATTATTTTCCCCTAGAGAAATTATGTGAAACTTATCTCAGAAGAGGAGCACTGACCCCTCACTCACATGTGCTGCACTCCGCCAACCACAGGGTGAAAAGAAAAGCCATGCGCCTTCCCTGAGGCAACTCTTGTCCGTGAGTCAGGCTGAGCCAAAAATGTCACGAGCTGCTGTTCCATTCCAAATGGAGGAGGGACACTAGAAAAGTATTCTTGCAGGCATCTAGCAAATATAAATTCACATGCCTCTGCTGTTTAAAGAGACAATTGGAGGGCAAGCCAAAGATAACTTCCAGACTAAGAATTTGTATAACTCTATGTAAGATGATTAGAAAAAGATCACACATTAGAACCTAAAAATGCTACTGCAAAAGAACACAAACTACGGAACAAAGACATACATATGAAGGAGATCTCTGGCCACCTTACTGCGGGGAAGGAGTCTGGCTTGTAAGGATAACCGGGTTGTTAAGGAACTGGAATAAAGCAGCATTTACTTTAGTTTCTGCTGAAGTCTTCTACCTGCTTATTTGCCCTTCCTCAGCTCACTGAAGACTAATGTGACATAGGGTCATTCCTCACCACTCACGCTGTTGCAGTGTTGTCCATACAGCATACAAGTTAATATAAGTTAACACCTTATCCTTATGCAGCATACACAAACAGAAACATCCCACCCTAACAATAAGTCATTCCCCATCTAGAAACAAATCCTAGGGTTTTCTCATGGTGATCCTCGACTTGCCATATGCATTCAGTGCTCCGTTAGTTTTGCTTTTAGAATCAGCCCTGGCCAGGCTGCATGGCAGAGGTCCGACTGAAGCTGCATTTGGCTTATTCCACTGTGCACAGTCCTCATGAAATAATGTCAGTCTTACTCCTTCCAAAAGAATATTTATATGTGTTGAATTTTAATGAAGTCATTTTGTGAGAAGAAGGATGAAGGAAATCTGTTTTTTCAAGGGCTGCATCCTTCTCCTCCTGACTTCCATCCCCCTGCAGCAATAATCTCTATCCTATTTCCCTCCACTTCTTCATACCCCAGCAAGCACACTGGAGCAGCACATACAAAATACACGGGGACTGCTGAGCTTATTGCTACCACCAGATGCAATGGCAGTATTCTGCCCTCAGTGGAGAAGTGAAGGGGAAATGAGATAATTTGGGTCATTCTCCTTTATTTAGCCACTAGTTTTCATGAAACTGTGGACTACTAGAACTTAGCGTGAAATTGGCCAATGGTTCAAAAATAGTATTAGCCAGGTTGGGTCAGGAGCATAAGTGGAGGCTTAGAGAGTGCATGGCTGTTGAAACCTCATTTTCTTAGAAAACCAGGAAAAAAAAACCCCAAACAGGCAAAACTTGATGAGATTTCATAAGGACAGGAAACTCCCCAGTAGGCCTATGTTCTGTGATCTAAAGCTACAGTCAATTCCCGGGGCTAGAGGGCCAAATGTCTTTCAATGAAGTATTTGGTATTTCCTCTGCAAAACTCCTTCATAACCTGAAATAAGCTTATTTTCTCATAACTGCAAGAAAGCCCAGACTAGTTACTCCAGTTGAGTATTCTGAATCCTGGCACTTCACAAATCCCAGTCAAGTAAAATAAGTTGCTATCCATTTTGTCCCCCCATCCCTCTACTTTGTTTTACGAACCAGCCCACAGACAGTCTTTAAAACAGTGTAACAAAGTGCAGGATTGGAGTAAACATGAATATTGGGATCTTCCACTGAGACATCAGAACTGGTGCAGCTCTAGAAAAGACCTTAACAGCCACAGAAGCTGATAGTTTACTGGAGGCTCTGTTTTAGATACACAAAGCCTTTCCCTTGCATTTTCAGCTATTAAAGGATTTTCTGACTTACTCAAAAATAGTGCAAGCCAGTTTAAAATATCTCTAGACTTCTGCATTCTTTCCATGAAACTCCGCAGAAAGTCAACTTCAGATATAAAACAAATACACAAACCCACAAAAAACAGTTCCTGAGTCTAATTCCCCACACTGGCTTCTAGCTGGCCTCCTCACTCCTACTGGCGATGCAAGACTGAAGTTTATGTCTTTCTCATTTGTATCCCATGGGATAAAGCAGAACTATGGAATATTTAGGCAACATTAATAAATGCTAGGCCATGCGAAATTGCGCCTAGGAGCCATAACAAATTTGTTAAGGAACTCATTGGCCCATGGTGTTAATTTTCTAATAAATCACAGATTGTCTGGGAAAGTGCAAATAAGTGCTAGTGTCACAGTCATGTTTAGACATGGCAAGCAGGTTGACCTGGAAAATATCGACTACAGTTACAATAACAACAGGCAAAGTAGTGAAAAAACTCACATGAGTTTCAGAGAGGAAAAAATGTCAAATTTGATTATTGCTAATTGATAGAGCTTTAAGGAAAACAATGTAAGAAGCCTACTTTCATTATTCATGAGATTACCCATTCAATTGGGAAATGTATCTGTGTAAAGATAATTTTCTTAGTCTCTGCTGAAATATTTGTGTTATCTCACATCATTCTGCTCGTAACTAATGCTATATTACTATATTAATGACATTCATTTAGGAATCACAGAATCACAGGAAGAGTTAGAGCTGCCAAAATAAAGATCTTGTGAAGAAGCTGACAATAGGAAATCATCACCTGGTATGTTTCTGGTGGATTTCCTCTGCGATCAGACTAGGACCAAAGTTAGTCAATCTTTTAATCTGTGATGCAGAAGTATTCATAAATTAATGTTGATAAACTTATAGATGACAAAAAGAATGTTGGAAAGGGAAAAGACAGAAAGGAGAGAGGGCAGCCCTCATAAACAATCTCATTCACTTCTGAGTCTTATTCACTCAAAGAAAATGGGGTTTAAGATAGTGGAATGACAAGCGCCTATGGACAGCAAGGGATGCTGTATTTTCAGAAGGTTCAAACGTTTAATACAGAAGTAACAAACATGAGCTCCACTGTTGTGAGGTAGAAAGAGGACCAACAACCCCCAGTAAGCACAGCAACAGGAAGGTGACCTCCACCTCACTGATGCTGATACTGACATAAGGTTCTGCTGCTTGTTTTCCAAATAGGTTAATAACCCAACAAACAGCAACTGAAGAGGAGGCATTAAAAAGAAAGACAAAAAGAAAACAACCCCAAGCCTCCAAGGGCTGGATAAAGTGCATTATAAAGAGAAAGTCAGTAAGAGCTTGACTTTTCAAGTTTTGAAAAAAAAAGAGAGAGAGCAATCTTGATTACAGAGTCAAAGCTGTTCTATCAAGTACAAACGGGCTCTTTACCTTGGCAGAGAAAGGAAACAAGTGTATGGAAGAAGAAGCCAGATTAGAATAAGACACTGCTTTGTTTCTTGATTTAATTACAAAACACTTATAACAATAGTGAGACA